AACAGCCAAGACTCAAGCAAAGCAAAATAAGCCTGGGAAATTCATTCTATGTCTTTCCCAGAATAAAGCGATGTATAAATAATTAAGAAATGCTCCACTTGTGGCCCAATTAACTATCGTATCATATTAATATTAACACAACTAAAAAAACCTTATTCTACTTTCTGGAATTTATGCCATAGCCACATTTAGATCTTAAGACACTGGGCCCCTTTCCCACAGTGTTGGTCAGGCAGCACACATTTACCCAGACCAGATCCAGAGCCCACAGGGACAGCCCTTGGCACAGGTAGAATCAGCGGCAACTGTGTGACTGTAGGCATATTGAACTGGCTGTCCTTGCTGCACTTGCCTCAAACATGAGAAAGGGCTTTAAAAACACCCATCAACATGAAATGACAAGAGTGCCTTTTATATGCCAAGTAATATTTAAGATTCTGTAAAATGTATAGGTATTTTAGATGTGCTTTCTTTCCTCAAGGAGCTCATAGTTAAGCTAAAGATCATAATAGACTGGCTAAATTGAGGAAAGCAATCCTCTATCTTGACACAGATATACATTTCCTCCTGACCCTGTCTTAGTGCCGGTGTAATATGCCTCAGAGGTGATGACTTGGCAGGAGGGGTGAAGGGATCCTAAGATCCCAAACCCTCTGAAAAAATTCTACTGGGGTGGGAGGAGATCGGCTGTTTGCTTAACTGACCCTTCTACCTTGGAAAAGATGAATAGGGTCCAGTATGGACAAAACAAAAAGTCAGCAGCTTGGATTTCACTCTGGGCTCTGGGTTCAAGAAAGCAGACCTTTGGATATTCTTCTAGGTTTTCCAGCCCAGTGGTTCTCAAAGTACGTTCCCCAACCCACAATATCAGCACCTCCAGGGAACTTGTTAAAAATGCAAATTCTGGGGCTCTACCTCCGACTTACTGAGTCAGAAACTCCAGTGCTTTTACAAGCCCTCCAATTGATTCTTACGCACGCTAAAGCTTGAAAACCACTGGTCCAGCCCAATTCACCAGCATAGGAAATGGATTCAAAATGAAGATTGTGCAATTAACTTGTTTTTAGTGTAAAATAAAACAAAAGAAGAGGAAGAAAAGAACACAGAAAAGAAATATGCTAAGTTATATCCAACATTTCAGAAATCTAATCATAGACAGGTGGTGTTTCTTACAACTGGGTTCAGCCATCAGATACTCATGTCCTCGGTGCAATTATTGTTGTACCTTACTGTTCTCTTTTAAAATGTAAATACTGGCGAAGGGATTAAAAGTCTAGTTGCTTAACATCTGACTCTGACCAATTCTATCAGATCCCGAAAGCAAAGCAGAAAATAACCTAAATGTAGCGGTCAGAAATCACTGACATTAGTTTCAATTTCACAGTTTTAACAAACACAACTTGGCACTAAACCTGCCTGTCCAAGCTTAGTGTATTGTAAATACAAATCATTAACTACTCTTCTGGATCTGAAGAGGTTTAAATGAGGGTTAAGCTGTCCCTTCATAGTTCTGTGATTCTTCAGCCCTAAACCTTTGGAATATGAAAATTAGGTCTCTCGGGCCGGCCCAGTGGCACACTGCTACAGTGCGCCGCTTGGGAAGCGTGGCGGCACTCCCGCCCGAGGGTTCGGATCCCACATACAGACCGGTTCCCGCTCACTGGCTGAGCGAGGTGCGGGAGCAACACCGAGGGTTGCAATCCCGTTGCCGGTCCCC